ATATATAGGGAGTAGAGGAAGGAAAAACGATACATATTTTGTTATGTATGACCTTTATATAATTGGTGATAAAAAGAAAATGAAATCAAAACCCGCCTTTAAAGCATTTGATGAGTATTATTATCTTTGGAACTATGAGCGATTAAGTGCTACAGTTGACATAGGAGAAGAATTTCCTAAGGAATTTATCCGCAAGAGAATTTTGAAAAAACAGGTGTTTCGATGGATACTGATTTTGGAGAGACGGAACAAATAAATCCAGAATTTACAAAAATAATAAAAATAATGAAACACGACGAGGAGTTTGCCAAACACATGGAACATTTAGAAAATCAGGAATATGGCTTAGATGGTATAAAAATATTGTCCGTGGAGATGATGAATAAATCAGGTAAAAAGTTTGATATATTAGCAGAAAATTTAAGAGATTCATCTAACGTATCCATTTTCCATGCATATATATACACACATTTAAAAATGAGTGAGGACACTATACGAAAGGCAATTAAACAAGGCAATTATATTAAAAATGAATGTTGGATAAATTCATTAACTGATTTTTACAGTGATACAATCATGAATGAAAGAACCCGCAACAGACTAACCAGAGATAAAATTATTGAAATCATAGGTAGGAATGATTTTAAGGAAGTAGGAGCAACCATTCAAGAAATGGAAGCAGTATTTAAGCAGTTTAATATTCAAGTTAGAATTTTTAATTTTGTAAATGAACTTATTTACAAATATAACCCAAAAATAAGAAACCGTCATATTAAAACATTTTACGCTATGGTGAAAAATAACCATATTTATACATTAAACCACGATTTAAGCAAAATACAACAAACACAAGTAATATCAAAACTACCCACTATAAAGGCACACACTGATTATTATATAAATGAAAGAGAGGAACCACCGCAATACAAAATGATTAAATGTATAGATGATATACTTAAAATTAAAACTGATGATAAAACAAGGGAAGTATATTTAGTACCCGAAGATAATGATTTGGCAGAAATATCTTTCCAGTTGATAAATATTGGATATGAACCCAGAATTAAATACACAGGTATTATTGATGAAATTAGAGTCAAATTTAACAAGATAACATATATCATAAAGACTCAAAATTTAATTAAATCATCCAGCGATGGTTGGATCGCAGCAAATAATGAAACTATGTACAACAATATGAATAAAGCAATGTTTAATTTTAATAAATCTTTATTTTTTTTATCTCACAAATCTTTTTATAATGACATTGATATAAAAATATTAAACGAAACAAGGACTGTAGCACCTTCGGGATTCTTATGGGATAAATTTAATTTAATGCGTAAAACTGAAATCGATGAAAATAAGGCATTTACAAAGGGGTTCATAGATATTACTGAAATACCAGTTTTTAATCAGTTTGACAATTGGAAAGAATACAATGATGCAATTAATATTGATGAACTCCACGATCTAACATTATATTATATTGAAGTTAACTATCCGAATATACCAAATAAATACAGTATGGAACGTATTAAACGTAAACATCTTTTGGAGGAAAGTTTAAAATTTAAATCAAAAGAAGAAGTTGAATTCATAATGACAAAAACGTTACTGGGGAATAAAGAGGGCTTAATGTTTAATAAAAAATATAATTTAGTTTATGGTAAGTTTCAAAAAAAGTTTATTAATCAATATAATATTAAAGTATTATATTATAAACAACCTTCGTTTATTCATAAAACAAACTATAAGGATATGGTTAATGAACTTTGGAAAACTACTATACATGAAGATGATGATGATGATGATGATAGGGACATAGATATACTAAGTAAAAAATTAATAGCAAATGTCAATTTTGGATTATTGGAGAAGGGAGAGGCTACCGCGCATCAAAGCATTTTGTTTAAGAGTATTGATGAAGCAATCCATTATCAAACAGAATACGGAGGCAAAATTCATAAGTTATCACAGATAGAGGGCAAAATTCATAGGTTATCACATATAGGTACAGAAGACGAAGAGTGTAAAGAGGAGTATGAAGAAGAGTATAAATATGAAATAGATAGAGAAAATATAAAAGCATCATATTATATATTAAAATTAAAGGATAAAGCAGTATTAAGAAACGGCTATAGATATATTAAAGAACTACTCATGCAACATCATAATTTTAAAATGAACCAAGACATTTACAAATTAATAATCAACGATATTAATGTATATAGTGTGAAAACCGATGCTTTTGTAATTGATTCATACAATGTAGAGAAAGCAAAGCAATTATTAGAATTTCATAATGATATAGGAGGTTGGAAAGTTTCTGGGCGAGACAATGAAATTAATCTTCCTACTGTAAAATATGAAGTTGTTAAGAATGATCTAATAAAAATACCAGTTCATGAAAGTAAAACTATTGATATTAAAGATGAATACGACACTGATAACATTATAGAGATTGTTAAACAGAATAACCCTATTATGATCAGGGGCGAACTACCGGGCACAGGAAAATCATATATATGTCAAAAAATGGTTGATAAAAAATATAAGGTAATATTTATTTGTCCTACTAATAAGTTATTACAGGCATTCGAAGGTGAAGCAATGACTATAAATAAGTTTTTTGGAATAAACTACGGCGATGCAAAATTAGAACCATTTGATTTTACAGAATTTGATGTAATCGTATTTGATGAAATTTATTTCAGTAATTTAAATATATATTGGAGAATAAAACAATTTGTAGAGCAGAATAAACACAACAAAATTATAATAGCAACGGGAGACACCAAGCAATTAAAACCAGTTCAAGAGATAACAAATACTCGAGACTATGAATTATATACTGATAATATTATAGATAACATTTTTGAATATAATATTTTGTTAAAAGAATGTAAAAAAAAACACACAGGAAGATAAGGATAAACTAAGAAATATTAAATTTGATATTTTTGAAAATAAATTACCTATTATGAAAGTTATTGAAAAATATTTCGAATATACAACTGACATAAGCAATTCTAACAACAACATAGCATGTTTAAATACAACTTGTAAAAATGTCTCAAATGAAATTAGAAAATTAGAAAATAGAAAAGATGAATACGAAGTAGGCGAATTTTTAACATGTAGGGAATATACTAAAACTAAAACATCAGTGTTTAATGTAAATTTCAAATATAAAATAGTTCATATCGGAAGCGATGGAATATTTACATTAAAGAATGTCAAAACCGAAATTTTACAATCCGTAGAAGTTGCTAAAATAAGAAGCAATTTTATATTTGCATATTGCTCAACTTGTCATTCTGCCCAAGGCAGTAGCATTGATGATACCATAACAATTTTTGATTATAACCTTTTTTTGGTAAAGAATTATCCAGAATGGATATGGACTGCAATTACAAGGTGTAGAGATTTAAACAAAGTTAAATTTTATAAATATACAAAAGATATTGATGATGTATTTAATCAAAAATGTATTATGAGTTATTTTGAAAGGAAAGTATTAAATTACAAAGAACAGGACAGGAAAGCAAAAAGAACCATATCTAAAGAAGGTTATGTAAATACACAGTGGTTTTTAGACAATATAAATAATCAATGCAATTACTGCGGATGTGGTTTTACTATTGATATGAAAAATGGTAATATAATGACAAATCTGACAGCGCAACGTAAATCAAACGAGTTGTCGCACGAACTGAATAATATTATTCCTTACTGTGTTAGGTGCAATTGTAGTTGTAAATGATAATAATTTAAATAGTAATTTAATATTTCTTGTAAAAAGTATTTAAAGAAATAAAAACTATATTTATAATAGAAATGGTTGAAACCGAAATCAATAATTATATCAATAAGAAATGCTACGACTGTTGCCAAATCAAAAAAGAAAATATGGAATTATACAAATTGAATTTACCTAATGGAATAGTAAGTAATATTATTGATTATGCTTTGGGTAAAGAAGACGAATGTAGAACTTGTAGAAGATGGAGACGATATCAAAATATAATAGAAAATATGTTGGAGATTAAAAAAATAGATGAAAGAAATGTTGAAGATGCCATTTTGATATTTTTAACTGTGTATAAAATACCACCTTATAGTTATGTTAGAATATTTCTGAAAATCAGTAAGAAAAAATATGAAATGATTAAAGGTATATTGTGGATGTTGACTTGTCATTTTAGGGAAGGGTTTGATGTAAAAGAAGACATTAAAACATATATTGAAGGAAAACAGTTTAATGTGAAAAATACCGTGAGAGATATTAATATTATTTTTAAAATGATGCATGAAAGAGATAAGATATATACACAATTTAATGGTCATCAATTGAATTATTATCCTGAACTTAAGTTATAAAATTCTATCTACCTAACCTTGCCCATAATATTTCTACAAAATTTATGATAAAATATTGTAAGATAATTTATCATATTTTTTGGAATAATATTTTTGAAAATTTATTTTCAAAAAAAATATTTTTTTGGAAAATTACTTTTTTTTTGAAAGTATTATATTTTTGAAAATATGTTTTATTGAAAATATTATGTTTTGAAAATATTATTTTTTTGAAAATATTTTTTTTTGAGAAATATTTTTTTTGAGAAATATTATTTTTTGAGAAATTTTTTTTTTTTTTTTATGAATGAGCTTAACCTTGCCCATGCATCCTACCATCAATAACCATATCATATGAACCACCCTATACTCCTATTTCCACTCAAGCATCCTAACAATGACAAGAATGATGGAATAGAAAATGAGAAAATGTGACTTTTTTGATGGATTTTGAGGTTGAGACTGTTATGAAATGTTTTGAGTGGAAATATGCATAATGAATAAGGATGACGATTTGAATAGTGAAAAAATGGTTGAAAAGTGCTGTTCTTGCGTAGGGGGGGGGCTACGCTAGGATACCATAAAAAGATGGGCAAGGCCCACCCTAACTACCACACCCCCCCCCGCCACCGGCGCGCCTTGATCATGGACTGGGAGCGCTTGTAGGGCACCACCGCGCCGTTGAGGTAGCCCAGCAGCTTCTTCTGGCTGATGGCCAGCTGCACGATGTGACACACCTGCCGTACTGGCCACGGCCTAAAATCAAAATCCCCACCTCCCCACCTTCTCCCCTTGGCCAACCTTCAACCTGAAATCAAAAACTCAAATATTTCATTCCTTTTCATCATCAGTGTTTTAGTAAAGGGCAAAGATATGGCCATGGGTCAAAAGCCCGTACCCCCAGTGAACATCCCAATCCAACCAATAAAATCGGTTCTAGAATGGGTGGTGAGTTCACCTACCAACCAAAATGGGATCCAAGACGGTTTTGACAACCACAGCCACCTGCCGCTAAATCATTCGACGCGGAAGGGCTCGCTCACTTCCGATCGGGCGTATGGGCAACCAAGTAGAGTTGCCTAACCCGCATGGCTCTAAACCCAACCAAGGGAGACCCAAACTCCCAAAACCATGGGATTTGTGCCAACCACTTTGTTTGCCACTAAAATGGTCCAAACCAAAAAAGTGACTGAAGTGCGGGAACTCAGGAAATGAGTTGGAGAGTTGTCTTACCCTACCAACCAACATGGAAGTGGGCAGAAGGGTGGTTGTCTGTTGGCAACCTGTTGCGCGTGTGTTTGTAGAGTTGTTCATTTATGTTCTTGGCATAAGGCTCGTGCTTCTATAATTGAGCCCAGATTCATCTACCTCTAGAATCCGGCCAGGATGAAAGGGGATAGGTAAGGATTGGCCACACACTGGAAAGATATGTGGTCAGTGTACCTCCCCCACCTTCATTCTCGCAAACCTTTCCATTGCCCAACGCATCAATTGCCAAACAATATTGAAAATGATGGAGCGAGGAATGAAGAAACAATTGATGAAGATATAGAAAGAGAAGGAATGTGAGACAGCAAATAGTCAAGCTGTAAAGATTAAGCTGTGTAAAGGCAATTGAGCCTTTCTACCTTATCAATATTCATCCAGTCTAATCTCAGCTACGAAAATGACATGGAGAAAGGAATAGCGCAACGCAACATTGTATTATTAACCATGTTGTTTTGTTGTGGTATCCTATTTCTATCTAAATATCTGTCCTCTTCCTATTCCTAGTTTGCAAGGATTCATACAATTTCCAAAACGTTCTGATTGAGATTAGGTAAGGAGACAGGTGCTGGGCTTGGAATTGTAGTTAATAATTGGCGCCTGGTAAAGAAAAACCCAAAGACAACAAACACAGACCCTATGTTCCACAACCTTGTGCATGAGACCAGGGAATCATTAATCACATAAGCCTTTAGAAAAGCCTGTCAGCACGGATGGAATCATTGGACAATCGCCTCAGATTGGACCAGGCAGCCATTTTAGCAACAAACACCAACCAAAGACAGCCTAGGTCCTCCAGTGGAGAGGTTAGAATAAGGGTATCCACTTGTTCAGGACGTCTATTTTGGTAGTGGAACCCTCCTAACCAAAGAGGGGGTGAGAAAGGGCACCAATTGCTGGGGGACCTAGCAGCAACCGATGGTTGCACCGGCAAGAGACGACCAAAAGCCCCTCCGCCGAGCTATGCGCTTCGACGCGTTGCAAGCGCCTGGCCCAAGGTACGGCCGTTCAGGAAGTCCAAGCCGCGGCTCACCAGGGCTTGGGCGCAGCTGTACCTCAGATGCCCAGTGGCCATGGGGAAAAAAAGGGGCGTCCTTTTCTGAGGTTGGTTGACCTTTAAAGGGGAACCTTCCCAAACAAAAAAAAGGGGAAACAGGGCGCCACCGGTCAACTGAGGTACCTTTCAGCTTCGCTGGAGAGGGGTCTCACTTCCTGAGTGGATTGGATCGAAAAAAGGAGGTCAAACCGTTTCCTTTTTTTCCCAGACAGATGCAGCAAAATGGTCTTCTGAGAAAGAAATCAGCAAACTCTGGGATCGAACATAGAGGTGTGGCAGATTCTGCCGCACGTTCAGTCTACCGTAACATTGCAGCAACATTGTGGCCAAGACTCCAGAAACCAATTGGGCTATGACATGAGCCAACCGTAAACAGGGATTGGTCAACCCCTACTCACAACCCTTTGAAATGCCCGGAGTACTCCCCTGCATTTTGCACATGAAACCCTGAAAAAGCTTCCTTGCGAAATGGAATTTCCTTTCCGGAAACCCCAGTTGAGGTTCCATGTCGACTTGCAGGAAGAGTGTGGCTTTGGTTGATATATGAATCAGCCATATTCAACAAGTTGCCATACGCAATAAGCCTGCCACTCCAGGCATATCCTTTGTGGCTCTTATCCATCAAACACTTCTGCGGCAGCGCCTTTACCCCAAAACTTGTTGAGCTTCCTTTTAGACTTCTTTTCAATCTAACCGAACGGGTGTCACTGTGTCCCTCACAAAAGGATAAGTAGCTACAGTATTTCTCCGGATTTGCGGGGTGATCAAAAGGTTCTTTACGTAGGTCCAGGGAAACCACCAAGGACGACAAAACACATTCTGGAAAAGTTGCCCATGGGCCGTTCTGGGGCCGTTCTGGGGCCGTTCTGGGAATCAACTGACCGACCCCCACTAGGTCCTCCAGACTAGAGAGGTTCCAATAATGGGTACCAACTTTTTTTTCGGTTTTGCCTATTTTAGTAGGGGAAGCCTCCCCCAACAATGGTAAAAGGCACCTACGGGGCGTAGCCCATGTCCATCCCTCAACCAACCCGGACGCCTGCCGCCGGGGAGGACCATGTGGGCGTCATCGAGGCTCTCGAAGTAGGCTTCCGCGGCTTGCCACAGCTTCTGGGGATAGAAGTCCTGGCCAAAGAAAGGCCTGACCTCAAGTTGGGAGAGGACGGGGCGCTCTGATGCGGGGTGTGTTGGAAAAGAAAGGGAAACAAAAGAATAACAAGTGCAAACAAGCTGTGAAAGGTTGACTTTCAACATGGCAACCTGCAAAAGCCGACAGAACTTTCATTCGGCATCAAGGCTGACCTGGGCATCAATGCGGAGTCTAGGGTCCGACCCACTCAGGAGGGACAAGCACCATTCTTGCGCCCTCTTGGGTATTTCACACACCCGGCGGGGATCCCTGTCTCAATGTAGGTTCTCTTTTGGGAGACCCCTTCCTCAAAATGGCCAGTTGCAATCGAGCCGGGGCCCTTTTTTCTCACACTAAACACATGCAAGCATTGCAAGAACTTCTTAGCACGCTGTGTTGTGAAAAGACCCTCTGAATGGAAGCCAGGCCAAAGCACAATGACATTGACTTTCAGCGCGGCTGGCTCTGATCTTTTGCCTTTTTCCGAACTGCGCACGGCTCGTCCTGCGGGCTGTAGACGTCCACGAAGTTCAAGCTGCGGCCGCACAGGAGGGCAGACCAATCCCCACCCTCCTCGGCCTGCGAACGCAAGAAAGCGCGAGTTGAAGCGAGCGTGCCAGCGGGCAAATCAATACACCATGGTTTTTTGCAGGACAAAGGGACACCAACAAGGAACATTGTGGGAACCACTGGATTGGGACCCACTCTGCGGCAAGGGGGTTGGAAATCCCACAAGTTCGCGCAGGCCGTCGATAATGAGGATCCTTTTTTGGGTCCTTCAGTGAAACAGCAGTAAAAGCCGCACCCCCTAAACCTAGAGTCCCCTGATCCCTCATGATCTCATGATCCCTCTCAGGACTTTTCTGGGTCGGTCATTGACTGAACAAGTAAACCTGATGGCTAGTTGGGATCAAAAACTCAAATAAATGTCAAGGGTCAAAAGACCAGACAACTTGTGATCCAACAGCTGCAAGAATTCTTTGCCCAGACAGGCGATAAGGGGTGGTTTGGACCAGCTTTCAGGGAGTGTTCAAAAGGAGGGCTTCCATATGTTTCCGGGGCTGTTGGGGATACCTGGGCCTTTTGCCTCACACGTCCTCATTTTATCTTCCGATCTTCCAGCCTTCGAGCAGTCCCAGAGGTGCCAACGCTGGGCTTGTCTCCGGGAACCCCCCCCCCATCGAAATGTCACCTCAGTTTTCTGTGCGTTTCCTCCAACTCATACTGATTCTCAGCCCCACAGGGAAGGCATTGCGGCCTAGGGATTGGTGACTATGCCCAGGGGGCATGAAGGACATTTCCTGGGCCATGACCTTGCCACGGCTTTCATGTCTGAAAGGGCCACATGTTTGCTTGCGGCAGGGTATCCCTGTTTTGGTAATTGTTGTTTGACTTCGAAGGGTAAAACTCCTAGATGGGCAGCTAACTGTGTCAGTAGCCTTATCATAATCCTAGGATCCCCGTCCCCTTGTTCTTTAGGATTGAAAGGGCCTTGCCCTGAAGGGGCTCATTGGGGAAAACTAGGGAACGGGGGGTTGGGATGCGAGGATGCGACGATGCCGAGGTCAAAGCCTTGTCGTGGTTCCTTACCCGTTTCGGTCGCATGGGGCAGGGATGGTCGACCACGTCAATCTGTCTTCTCCGTGGAATGCTGAGCAAAGCACCGTATTTTGCTGGAGCAAACACGGACATCCTTTTTGGCCAGCTGCTTTCAACCCACCCTTTTCAAAAAGGACACGAAACGGCTCGGACTCGTATCGGTGTGCGCCTGCACGTAGATCCAGGGGCAAGTGTCGCAGACCCCCTTCAACCGCTTGATGTCCACGTCCATGTTCGCCAACCCCACCTGGCGCCGATGCTACTTGCATCCGCAAACTCAATCAACGTAACCTGATAGAAACAGAATGGAATCCTTGACTCCTCGATGGTTCAGGACACAAGTGTGAATCGTGGCTCCTACATTAATCTCTATATGTCAATAGATAGATGCGTGTGTGTGTGTGTGTCTTTATACCCTGGCCTATTTGGTGTGGGCTATAAAGCAACATAAAAAGCACGCAAGGACATACCAGGCAAGACATACACAGTCAAGTACACTACCAGGACGCACGTGCTTGTAGTATGCTGAAAAGTGGGCCCCCCTTTCAACCCTGGACGTAGCATTTTAAAGATGTTGTTTGATCGTCCAACTGGTGACTAGTCAAGGGCAGGGATGTAAAATACTAAACCCGACCCCGTGAACGGCCATGCACGGGTTAGAGACACACGCAAGGATGTTCGACGTCCAGTGAATCCCTTGGAGGTTGGGTCTTGAACAGGTTGGGTCTGTATAAGGTAGGTCCTCCAGTAGAGAGGTTAGAATAAGGGTAGCCTTTTTTCTGTAGTCTCTTTTAGTAGGGGAACCCTCCCCTCCCAACCAAAAAAGAAACAGTAAAAGGGCACCTAGCTGGGGGACCTAGTAAGACGCTACGAAAACATATGCTCTGGCTTCAGCCAGGGGATTCTTCGCACCGCCAACTCTCCGGGCCAACTGGAGCCATTTTGGAGGTCCCCGGGACACGGAGACACAGAGACACACCCAGAAGTATGTCCAGAGTTTGCGCTAGCGGTCCATGTTTCCTGCATCACACAAAAGAAACTCACCGGCAACCAAGGTGATGTTGGCGCCATCCAGGTGGCAATATGAGTCTGAAACATTGGGGAGACCTCCAACTGGTCAACTGGATGCCCCTTGTAAGCTTCCCTTCACAACCTCCCCAAACGGGACAAAACTCGCTCGGATCGCCGAGGCATGGCCTGCGAGGCGCGCTCTGCGAGGCGTTTCCGCAAGATCCGGCCGTAAGGCTTCAGCCTGCGCGGGCGGGGCTTTGGGTGTCCCATGCACCCTCTACGAAAGCCAACCACCAATCACCCCGGACAGGGGGTTTCGTACTTGCCCTCTACAAAGCCAGGGGTTCAAATCCAAATCACCAAGTGGGAAGCTGATGGAACCCTCTTTGCCAAGGAAAAAATACGGTCGTCCATGAGTGGATTGGTGCGAGACAAAAAAACAAAAACATCCAAGCGGATTTAAGGTGACTCAAGTCCAAGAACACTCAGGGTGTGAGACCAGGGAAAACCCCTGGTCAAGGCAGCTGCAAGCCAAGTTGAAAGGTGCAACAGGATGACCCAAGGGGAAAAACCAGAAACCAAAAAGCAATGCCAAAGGAAACCCAAGAAAGCGCCAAGGCTAGTCCAAGAAGAACCTCTAGGGAAAAATCCAAGGACACCTCAAGGGAACCTCATGGAAAAACAAAGTTAGGGAAACCAAAAAAAGCCAAACAAAATGAATGGAGACAAATGAATACATAGGGTAGGTGTCATCTGTATAAATGTTCAAAGCTATATTTGGCGGAACGAACATCATCATTTGGTAGCCCTTTCAAAAACAACCACACAAACAAATATGGGCTATATGGTATGGGTGGGGCTATTGATCTCACCGAATGGAAATGCAGGAAACTCGCAACCTAAAGTAACGCACAACTGGATGGAACAGGAGCAACAGTCAGTGGATTGTGTTGCATCGTTGCGCAAGGTTGCAAGGCAAGGGGGAGCCCAAACACTTCAGGAAACACACACACACACACAAGTAAAAAACGTCCACATGGAGCTTCTGGGACAGGGTCCCTGCAGGCGTCGCCTCCCCCAAGTCCCATTCTGAGGGCTGCCCATGGAACCCCTGCCGCCGCCTTTTCAGGGACCAACAGGATCCCCCGGAAAGTTTCCCAAGGTCGACTGCATGCTCTGCAAAACTGATTAGCGACCAGATTGTGCTCGGTGACATGAGCGCTGTTCACAAAGGGCACCTTTGTCACGAGCACAATCACCCTGAACCCAAGCAGCCGAAAATATTTTAGCCCGTCAGTGGCCACGGGGAAAAGGGCACACTATTTTGAAAGTAAATTCTCAAAACACGGCGTTGACCTTCCTGCCCTTCAACAGCAGGGCTGGTGGGGCGCCCGTCCGCTGGGATTCCACACTTGGGTTGCACTTGTCCCATGGGCTGGTTCCCTTCGTGCGGTGCATGGTTGCGAAAGCCATCTCGCGCCATGTTGAAACCATGTTTGTTACTATTGACTATTGTTGCTTGGTATTTACAAGGGGATCGAATCACAAACCTGGGTTTCTTCGGCGGTGCGAAACAGATGTCCTCCATCCACAGTTATGATTCCCTTGGTGGCTGTACGCCTCATCCTTGTGGCCCACGAGTCCGTCTCGGGCTATTTTTTTGGGGGGGAAATTTGTAGGTAGGTGCCCCGGGAAAGTATGTAAGGGTTGATCAATATGCCTGGCCCCCAAATGACAAGTAGCAACTCTTCCCGTTTAGGGTTCTAGAATCTAAAATGGGTCGCCATAAATGAAATCCCAGGTCGAAATCCCCCCTGCCCCAATTCCATGGGGATGTCAAAACCTATAAACCATCCCATATGCTTTCCTTTCTTCGGGAATCCCCCCGAATGGTTCATTCCATTTGTCATTCTCTGCATCTCACACCAGACGAAAACCTCAGGTTCTCACCTCCCGAGTAGATTGGACAAAACAAGTCTGAGCTCTTTATTTTCCACTCAAATGGTCCGAACCCAAAAAGTGACTCAAGCTCAAACCTTTAAACAATATCCCCTATCAACCATCCCCGATTTCATTCCTTTTTTTGTTTGAATCCCAACTGGTTCATTCCCCCGGCACCCGAACCTCCACCTCAGGTCCCCGGCTCCCCTTCCCCTTAGGTCCGGGCTCATCCAGGTACAGGGACTCCACCGCGGCGGTCACCTCGTGCACATCCATGACGTTGTAGGGCTGACAGGTCTCGCTCTGGCGCCATTGAACCGGCTGACACATCACCTCAGCTTTCCAAGAAAAAGACAAGAAAAAACGAAGAGGAGCGGGTGGCTGCGGGTGGCTGCCCCGAAGAGAAACAAATCGAAGAGGAGCCGGGTTGCCCTCAATGGTTGGTGGGTCTGTGCAACAAGGAAAAACCGCCCAGACTGGCTTCCCTGGATACTTGGCGGTTTGGAGCAGAGGTGGTTTGGTGGTTCAGGGTAAATTCCTATTTGCCAGAAGGGGCTCACTTCCCCACAGCCTCAATTCGAATCACCAACTAGACGGAAGCTGACAAAAAACCATTCCAAGAAAACCACCGGCCCGGGCCCGCAGCCTCACCCTGAACAACAAATGGCGCTGTTCAACGCCCTTGGCGTTGGCCAGAACGGCTTGTGGGCCCCGCTATTGCCCTCATTCAAGATAGAACCACCTACTCCACACATTCGCAAGCGAGATCGCAGCCCCCCAGAAGAGTGAACCCCACCCCAATCCATGTTCTTCCTGGGTGAAACACTGTCTCTCACGGCATAATGGCCAATACGGGTGTGGGGTGCTGATTTTCCACTTGTCCTTGTTTTTTAAGATGGGCTACCATGACACAAGTCACACAACAGGACCATCATTTCATGCCTCAGGCCTGTGCGAAAGGAGGATTTGCGTATTGCCTTCGGACCGCACACTGGTATGGGCACCCCAGAATTAATAGCTTCACATTGAATACATGAAACTAAGTCCTCCAGTAGCAAGGTTAGAATAAGGGTAGCCTTTTTTCTGTAGTCTATTTTAGTAGGGGAACCCTCCCCCAAAAAAAGGGTCAAAGGGCACTACTTGGGGACCTAGACTTGGCCCTTCCAGGTGCCCTTGACTCCCCTTTCGAGCATAAAGACACCCTCAAAAAAAGGCGCAGAACCTCGCGACAATGAAGACACCCTCAAAAAAAGAGTATAGAACCTCCCCCGTGTTTAACGGCTCCCTTCACGTTCCCAAACGTATCCGCCCGCCGTTTGTTGACTTCCGCTTCCCCCATTGTGGCTTCTGTGCAAGGCGCCGGCTGACTGGCCTTGGAGCCTGTGGTCGGCCAGGCACGGAAGCTCATGACGTCAAACGTTCAAGCTTTTTATTTGCCGCACTCCTGGCCAAAATGGCTGCGGAAGAGCCGAAGTGGTTGATCACCCACAAGCCAAAGAAGAGTTTTTGGGGTTACCAAAAGAAGGGAGCCTCAAAAGCCAGGTTTCGGTGCCCTCATTGGGCGCAAGCCGCCCCTTCAGCTCTGATGCACTCGCATGGTCGTAGCTCACGGCCTTTTCTTCGCTGGCTGAATTCGATGAGTTGCTTGGCGCACTCGCGTCTGCAAGCGGTCCCGGCTTAGCCGGGCCTTGCACGAAACGGTCTGGCCAAGGCTGGCGACCCGGTTGAAACATGCTGAAACAATATTTTTTGCGGTTGATCATGTTGGCAGGCCATGCACTGCTCATAATCATCCATACCTAGGTCCTCCAGTAGAGAGGTTAGAATAAGGGTACCCTTTTTTTCTGTAGTCTATTTTAGCAGGCAAACCCTCCCAACCAAAAAAGAAACGGTAAATGGGCACTGCTGGGGAACTTCGACGGTTCACAATCATCCGTATTCAAATTCCCCTTGCAAAGGAGGTATTGCATTTGTCCGGGGGCCATTCCGCGAAGGCCTTGTTTCGTTGGGCCCCAACCTACTGGCTCACATTCCCGGGTTGTGAACGTAACGGTTGGTTGGAGCCACCAAATAAATGCTGAAGCAACAAATGCGCGCTTGAAAGCTTCAAAGCGTGGGTTTGACAAGTCCGAGCACCAAGGAAGAGCCATGAACTGTGCAGCGCTTAACATGTTCTCTAACATCAGGACAGCCGGTTGGATGAACAGGACATCTACAGGAATCGTTTGGTTGCATTTAGATAACTCATACGTAGATCTCCAAACGGAACGCAGGGCACTCAACTGAGAGGGGCGACTTCGCTTTGTAGTCTGATTGCATTTTGAGAAAAAACGACTCGCCTTTCACATGGAGCGCCCCACCCCACTCCGTTTTTTGAGACCTGGTGTTCCCAGCACAGGGGCTCTCCTGAAAATCCGCATGCACCACCCAAAGTTGCAATTTTCTGGGGCATCTCCTGTTGGACAGACTCCTTGTCGTGGCTTCTGTTGTGATCTTTGGAAACAACTCCGTCTGCTCACAGCCCTGGCCGTTCAAAGCGGCTTCAGAGGGCACAATGTTCTGCTGCGTGCCTGCCTGAGCGACCGTCTCACGAGCAACTCGCATGACCGCGGAAAGTATGACCTCTTGGCCTGGGCCAAGGAAAGAAGCCTAGTGCAAATCTGAAGGAAAACCCGGCCTGGCGATGGAGGGATTCAATGGGACCCGAAGAACTACAGGGGTCGCGTGTTCGCTTTGGCCGCACGTCGTCCCCACTCAACCTGCTTCGTCTGTGTGGCCTTCTTGAGGCAAAGCGTGAGCCCAGTGGGCTTCCATAAGGATCACGCTTCATTGGTTGCATCAGAACTCGGCCTTTGCAGGGCACTTTGGTGCATGGCAACTGCGTCATGATCTGATTCGATGCTATGCCTGGACTTGCTGAGGTTCGACGAGCCAGACAGCTGTTTCCTTTTATAGGTGTCGCAAAGGGGAGGGCCCTATTTAAAAATTTGAGGGTGCGCGTTGATCTTCGCACTTGGTCAGGGTGATTTCCAAAACGGTTGCTCCAAAGGCCGGGTCAAATGTGCAGCCTGGTCAGGCCAAGGAAACCAAGGCGATTCTCAGCTTCTCAAGCACAAAAGTCCCAGGGCCGCTTTGGGTGTTCCAACAGGCGGGGCTCTTTGATAGCCATGGCAACGAAGACTGGAGGCCTCAAACGTCTGCGTCAAGATGCCATGTCCGCTGGGCCCCCGTTTCAGTGTCCTTCTTTTGGCCATCAGCAGCCCGGAAAAATCGAGCACCCTTTGGGTGAAAAACATGAACCTGGCCTCAGGTAATGGGCTATTCAAAAATGGAGGGCTGAATTTTGTATTGGTCAACCGCCACAAAAGGAGATCGCACAAATCATTGGCGGCTGGCGTGTCCTAAAATGGAAAACGAAGCGAGCTCGGAATGGTGTCCAAAAGAAAACCAAGCTGAACAAAGCATAGTTGTCCAACACAAGCAACACCCTTGTCACTGGTTGAAAGAAAAGGAAACGGAGAAAGGTATGAACTCTTCCGACAATCACAGAGCTTGCGAACAAGGATTGCAAAACACTAGCATAGGCTGAAAGGTATCCTCTTTCAATGTTTATTGCTGCATGCGTAGCAACCACTTTTGGGGTCCCAAAGCTGCTCTCTGAATCTCTGGGCCCAAAAAAAAAGAGACCCAGCAGGACATCCCTCTGGGCATGAGTGTGTGTTGGGCTCCAAGTGTAGGTCCTCCAGTAGAGAGGTTAGAATAAGGGTACCCTTTTTTCTGTAGTCTATCTTAGTAGGGGAATCCTCCCAACCAAAAAAGAAAAGGTAAAAGGGCACTACTGGGGGAACCTAGAAGTTGACTTCCGGTGGTTGAAACTCGAACTGGGTCCCCCGAGCTGTGGCAAAGCTCGCACCATTCCACCGCGTTGGCATTCGACCTCCAGCCACGCGTGAATGGGTATTTTCAGACAATAGCAATGAGTTGTTTGGCCAAATGAAACATGACGACTCATTCACAAGGGATTAGCAACCGTGCCAGAAACCAATGAACTGTTGGCTCAAACTGGTTATGAAAGTGAAAATGGGCCGTTTTTGATCTTTGGGGACCAAACGTCAGGCGTTGCCCATTGGCAGTGGATTTCAGTGTGTAGGTTGGTCATGTATCAATGGCATCCACTTGCCACCGCTGAATGATTGTGAAGATTAAATTGTTGTGGTTGTGGTTGTTGTGAATGTGGTTGCCGTTGTTGTGGTTGTTGTGGTTGTTGTGGTTGTGGTTGTTGTGAATGTGGTTGCCGTTGTTGTGGTTGTTGTGGTTGTTGTGGTTGTTGTGGTTGTTGTGGTTGTTGTGGTTGTTGTGGTTGTGGTTGTGGTTGTTGTGAATGTGGTTGCCGTTGTTGCCGTTGTTGTGGTTGTTGTGGTGGTGGTTGTGGTTGTTGTGCTTCTTGTGCTTGTTGTGGTTGTTGTGGCTGTTGTTGTTGTAGTGGTTGTGGTTGTGGTTGTGGTTGTGGTGGTTGTGGTGGTGGTGGTGGTGGTGGTGGTGGTTGTGGTTGTGGTTGTGGTTGCGGTGGTGGTTGTGGTGGTGGTTGTTGTTGTTGTTGTTGTTGTTGTTGTTGTTGTTGTTGTTGTTGTTGTTGTTGTTGTCGTTGTCGTTGTCGTGGTCGTGGTCGTCGTGGTCGTTGTGGTCGTTGTGGTCGTTGTGGTCGTTGTGGTCGTTGTGGTTGTGGTTGTGGTTGTGGTTGTGGTTATGGTTATGGTTGTGGTTGTGGTTGTTGTTGTGGTTGTTGTTGTTGTTCCTCCCGAAGCGAGATACTTGCAGTGTTTTTCAGCTTCGCACGCAATAAACACTGGTATTTGCGGCGTTCTGGCGCCTTCCCGTCCTCCCGCGCAGCAGGCGCTGAAAACACCGCAAATACCAGCACGTTCTTGTCCCGAGCGCGGAAAACATCGCAAATAGCAGTGCTTTGGTAAGAGCACCGGTTATTTTCTCGTCCCGAGCCAATGGTAAGGACACCTGTTCATGTGCACTCGCTCGGTAAGAAATGGTAAGGACATCCGTTCAAGTGCACTCGCTCGGCACTGTATCCATGCCAGCCAAATGGTAAGAACACCCGTTCAAGTGCACTCGCTCAGCACTGTATCCATGCCAGCCAAACGGTAAGAACACCCGTTCAAGTGCACTCGCTCAGCACTGTATCCATGCCAGCCAAATGGTAAGAACACCCGTTCAAGTGAACTCGCTCAGCACTGTATCCATGCCAGCCAAATGGTCAGAACACCCGTGCAAGTGCCGTCGCTCAGCACTGTATCCATGCCAGCCAAATGGTAAGAACACCCGTTCAAGTGCACTCGCTCAGCACTGTGTCCATGCCAAATGGTAAGAACACCGGTTCAAGCGCACTCGCTCAGCACTGTATCCATGCCAGCCAAATGGTAAGAACACCCGTTCAAGTGCACTCGCTCAGCACTGTACCCATGCCAGCCAAATGGTCAGAACACCCGTGCAAGTGCACTCGCTCAGCACTGTATCCATGCCAGCCAAATGGTAAGGACACCTGTTCATGTGCACTCGCTCAGCACTGTATATCCATGCCAGCTAAATGGTAAGAAATGGTAAGGGCATCCGTTCAAGTGCACTCGCTCGGCACTGTATCCATGCCAGCCAAATGGTAAGAACACCCGTTCAAGTGCACTCGCTCAGCACTGTATCCATGCCAGCCAAATGGTCAGAACACCCGTGCAAGTGCCGTCGCTCAGCACGGTATCCATGGCAGCCAAATGGTAAGAACACCCGTTTAAGTGCACTCGCTCAGCACTGTATCCATGCCAAATGGTAAGAACCCCCGTTCAAGCGCACTCGCTCAGCACTGTATCCATGCCAGCCAAATGGTAAGAACACCCGTTCAAGTGCACTCGCTCAGCACTGTATCCATGCCAGCCAAATGGTCAGAACACCCGTGCAAGTGCCGTCGCTCAGCACTGTGTCCATGCCAGCCAAATGGTAAGGACACCTGTTCATGTCACTCGCTCAGCTCTGTATATCCATGCCAGCTAAATGGTAAGAAATGGTAAGGGCATTCGTTCAAGTGCACTCGCTCGGCGCTGTATCCATGCCAGCCAAATGGTAAGAACACCCGTTCAAGTGCACTCGCTCAGCACTGTATCCATGCCAGCCAAATGGTTGCAAGTGCACTCGCTCAGCACTGTATCCATGCCAGCCAAATGGTAAGCGTTCAAGTGCACTCGCTCAGCACTGTATCCATGCCAAATGGTAAGAACACCCGTTCAAGCGCACTTGGTCAGCACTGTATCCATGACAGCCAAATGGTAAGAACACCCGTTCAAGTGCACTCGCTCAGCACTGTATCCATGCCAGCCAAACGGTAAGAACACCCGTTCAAGCGCACTCGCTCAGCACTGTATCCATGCCAGCCAAATGGTAAGAACACCCGTTCAAGTG